TATGTGTGGGAGATCCACCTCCTGTTGCCTTCGCTTCCTGCTTCTTTGAGGCCATCCTGCCACGTAGGCTGGTTTTACTAAAAAGGGAAGTTCTTCTTCCTCTCCCACCTCCACAAAGACCTCTGAAAAAGTCCCCCAGATTTAATCAAATAAGAACCAAAGTAAAGCAAAGTCCAGTATTAAAAAGGGAGAAATTTCTCTGTTATTCTCTTGTTACAAGCGAAGCAACTTTGTAGCAACTTAATAACTTTGTAACAAAGCAAGATAACTTCACCAATCCACACTTACTGGCTCGTTAACTCTAATGCTGGGCGCCATATTTTTTCAAGTCACTTTCACTCATTCGCATTTTTTCTTAAATTGAAAAGTCAACAAAGCGCTAATACTTGCAGTTCCAAGTTTCAGGGTTCAAGTGTATATCCGCTGCTTGTTAAAATTAGTTCCTTTCGCTTTAAATGTTTGCTGCAGCCGGCTTGTTCTGCAGAAGCAGAATCGTCCCACGCCGCCCGGAGTCTCAGCAGGTTGGAAGGGAGCCGCGCCTGTTTCCTCCCCAGAAACGATTCCCTGGGGGGTTACAGGGGCTCGACCTGTGCCCTGCTATCTCTCCTCCAACAATCCTCAGGATTTTGAAGTTTTCGAGCCGCTTCTCGATCGCGAAGCAGCTCTACAGGCGGCGGGGCTGGCGGAGCTTCAAAAGGCACCGCCGCTGCCGAAGGCTAGCAAACCGGAAGTCCTAGATTCTTATTTTTGTTCCAAATGATACCTGTGCTTAAGAAGGATGAAAATTTGAGAGAATGGCAGAAAGGTGTTAATACTTTCATTTGGGCTGGGAAAAAACCCAGAATAAAGATGAAAATTATACAAGATACACGTGAAAGAGGGGGTCTCAAAATGCCTAATTTAAGATTATATTATGAAGCAGCAGTCTTATCACAAATTAGTGACTGGTTTAACTTAACTGAGGGGAGAATTTTGAATTTAGAAGGGTATGATTTATTATATGGATGGCATGCCTATTTGTTATATGACAAAAAAGTGGATAAAGTATTTAAGGCCCATATACTTAGAAATGCTTTGTTGAGGGTTTGGAAAAAATATCAATATAAGTTAAATTATAAGATACCTGTATGGGCAAATCCTAGACATGCAATAGAAAATATAAGTATAGAACAAAAACAGGAGGTGATTACCTATAAAGAGCTTCTTATTATAGAAAGGGGGGTAATGTATTTGAAATCTTTAGATACATTGAGAGAAGAAGGTATAATTTATACATACATACTAATAAAACTTTTTCAATAAAAAAAAAAAAGATTTCATGCCAGGCCTCTGCAACGGTTCTTGTTACCGTTCCAGAGGTTGGGTCAGGTCAAAGTCAGGGTTCTGGGGGTAGTCCTGGCGTCTCTTCGCTGGTGGGCATCCAGGTGCATGGCACAGGGTTCCTACTTCATTGACCAGGAACATATTATGGTAACAATGGATGCCAGTCTAACAGGATGAGGGGGTCCATTGTCTGGACCAGGTGACTCAGAGAACTTGGTTGAGGTCGGAGTCGCAGCAGAATATCAATTGGCTGGAGATGAGAGCGGCCCGATTGGCGCTCAAGAAATGCAACCATTGTTTAGTGAACCGCCATGTACTTCTCATGACTGATAACAGCGGTCAAGGCCCATGTCAACAGGCAGGGAGGAACTCGATCCAAGGCACTCATGGAGGAGGCGAGACTCCTCTGTCGCTGGGCACATTGCAGGGGTGGACAATGTAAGAGCAGATTGGCTAAGCAGGGCCCCTCTGGATCACTCAGAGTGGTGCCTGCATCCAGCATTGTTCAAGGAGATAGTGTGTCGGTTCGGCCAGCTGATCATAGACCTCTTTGCGTCACCAACAAACAGCCAGCTTCCATGATATTTCTCCAGGTTTCCAACTTGGGGCGGAGGGAGTCAATGCCCTTCACTCTCCTTGGCCCAGGGGTCTGCTGTACGCATTCCCCCCATGACACTCCTACCAGGTGTCATCAGTTGGATCCTGCAGAACAGGGCAGAGGTCATCCTCATTGCTCCACATTGACCCAGACGCCTGTGGTTCGTGGATCTGGTGAGCCTGTGGAGGATTCTGCCAGACAGGGTCTCCCTCAGCCAGGGGCCAATTTGCCATCCAGACCCCCAGTGGCTACACTTGACCTTGTGGCGGTTGAGCGGGGACTGCTGGAAAGGCGGAATTTCTCTTCAGGCGTGATACGAACGTTGCAGGCTGCCAGACGCCCATCCACGACGGTCCAGAGTGTTTCCCCCCGTGTGAGTAGGGCCATGAACTAATTGGGTCAGGTCCATGGCCGTCATGGAAGCCATGAACTCCTGAGCCACCTCAGACACCTCACCGACGGATGGCAGGTTGAAGTCCCCCATGACCATAAGTCTAGGGGTATCAATCGCCACCGCGGCTATAACATTGAGTAGTTCAGGCAAGGCCGCTGCCACGTGGCAGGGAGCCAGGTACGTAACCAGCAGGCCCATCTGCACCCCATGACCCCATTTCACAAGGAGGGACTCACATCCGACCGTCTGAGGAACACTGGCCTCCCTCGGACCAAGACCCTCTTTAATGATAACTGCCACCCCCCCGTCCCTTCCCTGTGACCTTGGCTGATGAAATGCCCGGAAACTGGGTGGGCACATCTCTACGAGAGGGACTCCCCCCTCCTGGCCCAACCAGGTCTCCGTAATACCCACCAGGTCCGCTCCCCCCTCCTGAACAAGAACACAAATGAGGGGGGCTTTATTTACCACGGACCTGGCATTGCATAGCATCAGTCGAAGGCCCAGGGCCTGAGGGTCTGTGCCACCTGGGGAACGAGAAGAGCATTGGGGGCCGGAGCGTGCCACCGCTTGAAGACAGCGAGCGCGCACTCCCGCAACTTGATGTGGCCCCCTACAACCGCCATATCTGCCCCTCCCACCTACAGTACTGATGTAATGTCTATCAACAGCACAAGCTCTAACCTTCTCCTTGGCCCCGGATTCTGCATCTCCTCCGCCGTGCTCTTCAGATGGACTAGACCCCGTCCCTTGTGGGTTAATCCCTGAACCCATACAACCCACCCCCCTCCTGGGAGGCCCCCCAGCCTCATTATTTACATTGGAAACCACCCTCCTTCCAGATCCCCTTAAAATAGAATTTGAAAAACTATCTAAAAAACCCCAAAGCTTCCGGTTCTTAGCATACCACCTCTCGGGGTTCCAAAACCCGTCCTCGAGGGCGGCCCTAGATAACTGGGAGGGCCAAACTTGCGAGAGGGGGGAATCTCGCAGTGCTAGGAGTTCTGTTATTGAATACATCGGAGGTGAGATAGAATTGGAGGCGATGAAAGGCCATTTTCTTCTTAAGGTGTTAAAGATGGTTTAAAACAGATGGTTAAGACAAAAAGGGTAAAGTAGATAATTGTACAAGGAAGCTAATATAATAGAACATCGGAATACCATCTCCCTCTTACAGTGATGGGAAAGTCTTGTGATTAAAATAAGTTAGTCATAAAAAGGGGGATGAGAGTCTCAATGACCGCCCTCTCATGGCGACCAGTCCAGAGTTACAGAAACAAAGGAGAAGATGGTCCATCCCATCCACTTGTATAAATATTACAAATAAATTGTTCAAGACTCTCGATGTCTATGCTTCCTCCCTTTCTGATACCAGCAAAAATCTGAAGATAAGGTCGAAAAAAGCAAAGGTGGAGCATCCAGGCGGAAGAGATGAAATCAAATAATCAGGATAACTAGGATAGTCAAGGAGGAAAAGATATTTAAAATAAAGGCTATAAATTGATCGAACAGCTGCAAGTTTTTCGCTGAATGGCCAAACTAGGTCTAAGTCTAGTTAGGGGGGGGGGGGGCGGGAGAAGCAGTCAGGGGAAGATCAAAAAAATCATGTCTTCAGTTCTCAGCCCCCACCACTACCATGCTCTTTCAGATAGGGCCATTCAGGTGATTAAGTTGAATTCAGGTGATTAAGTGAATGTCCAGGCCCCCTCCCCATTACATCGAGGGGGGGTAACTGCTTGCAGCAAAGCCCTCTCCATCGTCTAGAGAGGGCATCCTCATAGCCTAGCCTCCCGGTGTTGCTGCTGCTGTTGATGTCATCATTGCAGTTGCAAGTGTCATTTTAGTCAGCTCTGCCTCCGTATCCATGGCTGCCGCCCTGCGTCGCCACCCGCAGCGCCCAGCACGCAGCAAATTAAGTTTACAGCAGCCCAGGCACCGCCGCCGGCGCTGCCTGCGCCGCCACCGCCACAGCAACATCGCTGACCGTTGCCTCAACCGCTCCAGCCCCGCAGCCGTTTGATTCATGACAGTCAGCTGGGCCTCGGTTTCAACGTTCGCCGCCGTTTACCGCCTGCCGCGCCATCCCTAACTATCCCCACGGCGGCCGGGTGTTCTTCCGGCTCCATCTACGGCTCAATCGAGCCGGCTATGCTTCAGCTTGCTGGGCGGGGGTTGTAAGATGGTCAGCTGGCCCCCCAACACCCTCGAAAATGCCGGACATCGCCCCTTCGTCCTTGGCATTCAATATAGAGTCGCCATATTGGTCTGCTACCTGGAAGGAACATTTATATATATATATAAATATTTATATATATTATTTGTAGTATAATGTTTGTAGTTTATGCTTTTACTTGGCTGTTCACCGCCCTGAGTCCTCAGGGAGAAGGGCGGCATACAAATTTAAAAATAAATAAATAAAATAAATAAATATTAGCTATGGCATATGAAGATGATAAGAATTATATCTAGCAATATCAGGAGATCAAAAGTTGGGAACTATTATTTCAGAACATATCTGGACTCCTGAAAGCTATAGAAAAGACATGAAATCAGAGTATGTGAGTAATTGCTGGACCTGGTTTGGTATTTTTAGTCACAAAGTCCAGGTACCGTTTAGAAATTGCTTCTCTTTTGGTTTCCATTGCTATGAATTCCCACTTTTTGCTGATTTTTTTCATTTTACAGATTAATCTGGCTACCACATCAGCTGCACAATTAATCAGTCGCTCACAAAGCGTGAGTTCACCTGGTGCCACAACACTGACACAATCAGTCCTTCTAGGGAACACCACTTCACCACCTCTTAACCAGTCACAAGCTCAAATGTATCTTCGGGTAAGAGTTTTCATTATAAATCCTCTTTGTCTTCTTGTTGTAGTCTATCATCTCTCTCTGCTTACAACAATCCAGTTGGGAGTTAGCAACCTCTATTCCCTTGAACACTTCAATGTATATATAAACTACAGGGACAGAGTATCATTTAGAATTTTATTTTCTATAACTTTAGAGACCCTATGGCACTTACTGGGAGTTTGAGAACATTTTAGCAGAACAAAAAGGTCATCTTTTGGTAAATCTTGGCTGCAGCTCTTACATTTGTTTTAAATATGCTCTAGTGAAAATGCTCCCATTCTGCTTTTTAAAATAGCTGTGAAGATTTGGCTCTTCATCTAGGCCTTCAATGGGGAACAGTGATACCTCTCAATTGTGTTTGCCATATTTTTTTTCTTTATTTTTTTATGTTTTGTTGTAAATTCTTTGATTGTGCAAGACACTCAGAGTGATTAGAGTTGAGTAACAAACAAGTGTAAGAAGTTATGACTAGTTGCATAGTCAGTCAGATGTTAAGACTGGCTTTTATTATTTATTAATATGATTTCCATGTTCTTGTATCAGTATCCTAGTTTACTATCTTTCTTGTTTTTAGGACTAGATGAAGGGAATGCTATAATTTTAATAAGGCTACTTTTGAAAGAATTTTTTACTGCCCCTTCTCCCCATTGCCTCTGGGTACTAATTGCAGATTTGTGAAAAGCTAATGCTTAACTTGCTTGGTTTCAGATTTTTGTTTTAGATTTAGAGAATAGGTTCTCTTCATTATAGTTCTGTAATATGAAAATACTTTCTTAACTATCACAAATAGTACAGGTCCCTTACTTCCACTATCCATCCTTCATTACTACTTGTAAACTAATGGGTAAATTGTTAGGTATCTATTATTGGCACAATAGTGGGGAAAAAATGATAATTTGCCCTCTGTAAATAAGTAATGTCTGCTTTCTATCTGATGAAGAAAAAACTGCAAATACAGGATGAGTTTCTGTTGGGAGACCCTAGATCCATGACAGATTATAACATTTTTGCTTTTGGTACATTTTCTTTCTTCCTCTCTTTTACTGTCCCACCTCCACACCATCTAATCTTTCCCAAACAGCCGCAGCTGGGGAATCTGTTGCAGGTGAACCGGACTTTGGGCCGCAATGTACCTCTTACTTCCCAGCTCATCTTGATGCCAAATGGGGCTGTGGCTGCTGTTCAGCAGGAATCACCTTCCACTCATGCTCCTGGGGTCCAAACAGACACAGACCAGGTCAGTGACACCCTTTTCTGGGGGTTCCCATGACCAGCCTGACATATCCTAATCTTGTGTGCATACTTAAATTTCACAGTGTCACTAATAGAGCATTAATTTTATGCTGTGTTCTTGTTTCATAGCAAGCATTCATCATTTACTACACACATCATTGTTGCAGTGAATTTATACAGTTGAACAGCTATGTTAATATTTGCGTCTGTTGTATCCTCATTCTCAGAATATGTACCATTTATTGTGCAGCATTAAATATTATATTTTTCGGAGTATAAGATGCACCTTTTTCTCCCCTAAAAGAGTCTGAAAATTTGGGTGCGTCTTATACTCCGAATGTAGCTTTTTCGAAGCTTTTTTCAGTCCTAACAAGTTGCTAACAAGGCGCTAGCAAGTGAAGCTATCTTCCCAGCTTTGCTTGCTTTCTCGACTCTTCGCTGTGCTTTAATGAGGCGCTAGCGAATGAAACGATCTCCATGCTTTGCTCCGACTCTTAGCTGTTCTTTAGAAAAAATTTTTCAGCCCTAACTAGATGCTAGCCGAGTGAAGCAATCTCCCCGTGCTTTGCCTGCTTTTCTCATTGCTGCTTCCTCTCAGCTGTGCCTTAGAAGCTGTTTTTTATCCCCAAGTGGGATAAAAAACCAGCAAACTAATGTGCTGAAGCTGACCAGACTAAGGACGCTAGCCAGATGAATATCCGGTAGGCAGATTTTTCCCCCCCCTATTTTCCTCCCCAAAAACTAAGCTGCGTCTTATACTCCAGTGCGTCTTATACTCCGAAAAATAGGTTAAATGCTTCTGACATAATAAGTATAAATAATTATTAAATAAAAATTTGGGGAAAAATTATAAAAGGAAATTGTTCAAATAAGGGGTGAGTGGAAATTAATTTGCTATAGGAAATTGGAAATGTAAACCTGTAATAATTTAACTGTAACTCAGGATATGTAGAGATTGCAGAATTATTGCCTTGTAATTCTAGCCTGCTTGATCACTGAACACTATCTTTCTCATCACTGCTTGGCACATTGGAAAGATGGGGGTGGCCCACACTATTCTGCATCTATTTTCTATCCCATATCTATTTTCCATCTTAAATGCTGTTTCTTTGCAAAGATCAACTTTTGCCAATTGTAGTTGTAGGAATGTGAAATAAGTACTGTATTTTTTGGAATATAAGACGCACCTTAATTTTGGGGCAGGAAAACAAGAAAAAAAGAATTCTGCCTCTGCCTACCAGCACCAGGATCAGCGGCGTCCTCACTTCCATTCAGATTTTGATAACAAGTAGCACAGATCTTTTTATCAGTTTAAAACAAATCCTATCACTCTATTTAATTGGAGTGACAAAAGGAGGAGGAGGGTGCGTGGCTTTGCAAATTACTTCGGGGAATCAGGGAGGAAAAAGAGCATTGCCTCCATGCATCGCGTTTTCTGGCGTTTTTCTCCCCAATTCCCCGAAGCAATTCGCAAAGCCATGCACCCTCTTCCTCCTTTTCCGCAGTCTCACTTTCTCTTTCCTCCCGGCCAGATCTGTCTCCCGGGCCAGGAGCAGAAGCCGACCACCCTCAGCCTGGGTAATCTGGAGAAGGGGCAGGCCGGGTGGCGAGCCACCTTGCTTTACACCTCTCGTGCAGAAGCGCCCGCTCCGCAAGAACATCGCCTCTATGCATTGCGTTTTCTGGCGTTTTCCTCCCCGATTGCCCGATGCAATTCGCAGAGCTGCGTGCCATCATGAAAACACGGCAACGGTTTTTGGCCAGTTCCAAACAGCACCCATGGTTTCTGCCACCCATCTCCCAGTGTGCGGAGACTGAAAATGCGATGCTCATTTTTGGCAGTGTGAGGATCGAAACTGCCGGAAAATGCAACGCACGGAGGCCGACAACCTCCCAAGGGTGGGGGCCAGTGGGTGGGTGGGGCTACATTCGGACTATAAGACGCACCCAGATTTTCACCCTCTTTTTGGGTGTAAAAAGGTGCGTCTTATAGTCCGAAAAATATAGTAGTCATCAGAATGCTGTAACATCATTCTGAAGTAGTTTGCTCAGAACAGTATTCATATGGGGGAAAGATGTTTTTATCTAGTTCTGCTCAGGTAATGCCATGTGATTTTAACTTTAAAGACAAGAGATTAAAACTTTGCCAAAGTAACCAATTCTTTTATAAATTACTTGAGCCTCCTTCCCTGTGGTATTTAGTGATATTGGCCCATTTTGGACCCAGAGGAAATTGGACAGTTTTCCTGCAGATTGAATAACAGTAAATTTTAGGACACTGTGCCCCTTGAAACCTACAGTAATGGCTTATTCTTTTTCCTTCTATTGTCCAGGTGCAGAATTTGGCTGTCAGGAGCCAGCAGACTTCAGTAGCTAATGCATCACTCCAAGCTTCTACTCCAAAGGCTACTTTGCCAGGGAATTCCCAGTCTTCAGTAATACCCCAAGCTGCTCATGCTGGCCAGACTTTGACAGTAACACAAGCATCTTCTGGCAATGTAGCCCAGTCACTCAATCTCACCCAAGGTGCAGCAGGAAGTAATGGCATTTCTGGAGGCATGGTCTCGTCAGTAGGGAGTCATGCTACCACTGGGTTGAATCAATCAACTTCATCTGGCCCAGGATCCAACTACCAAAGGAAAGGCACTGGTGTAGTTCAGCCTTTACCAGTACCTTCTGCTCCCCAGGCAGTGACTGTGAGCCAAGGAAGTCAGACAGAGGCAGACAGTGTGGCAGCAAAGAAGGCTGAAGGTGATGGTAATGGGCAACAGACTGTGGGCATGAATCTGACCAGAACAGCTACACCAGCCCCAAGCCAAACTTTGATCAGTTCTGGTATGTTACATGTGATTCTTTTCTGCCAATACCTTCTTGAAACTTTTGTATTCTTTGACAAGGTTCACTGCTTTTATAATTGCTACCTGTCACAGGAAAGATAGACTTTAATTGGATTAGCAAATTGGTACTACTCATTGCTGTGTTGGATTAGATTGAAGAAAAAGCTCCATGGTTCTTGTTCCTGGTAAAGAGAGCTGTGTTTTGTCACACTGTCTTCATTCTCAGTGAGTGAAATACCGAACAGGCAAAATTGTTTTCTGCAAGGATGAGAAATCTCACCCAAGGGCAACTTGTCCTTCTATACCAGTGATATCAAAGATTGGGCATACATAGTTCCTTTACAACAAGCAGTGTTGCTCAACCTTGGAAACTTTAAGATGTGTGGACCTCATCATATGGCTGGCTAAAGAATTCTGAGAGTTGAAGTCTTAAAATTGCCAAGATTGAGAAATAGTGGCATAGGAAAAAAATTTTTCCCATTCTCTTTGCCTGCTTGGTGGAAAGGGCTAATCTTTGATTTCCGAATGTCTTTCTTCATCATTATTAAGACGAAAACATAAGGAAAAGTTTTGCAGTTACATGAGTGGGTACAATTAAATGGTTTTTAATTTGCTAGGTTCCCTTAGCTTCTCCTTTTCTTCATTTTCTCTAATTGTTACCTTTTAGGGCAGGGGTCCTCAAACTATGGCCTGTGGGCTGAATATGGCCCGCCGAAGCCATTAATCCGGCCTGTGTGGGACCACGAGGCTGCCTCACCCATATCACCCACCTACCCGCTGGCCCCCACCTGCCTTCTGGAGGCTGAGGAGGCCAAAAACGGGATGGGTGGAGGCCCCAGGAGGCCAAAAACAGGCCTGTTTTTGGGTGGCAGAGTGGTTCTGGAGGCTGAGGAGTCTCCAGAAAGAGAGAGGGAGGGAGAGAGAGCGACATACACACACACATACACACACAAACAGAAGTCCCTCTCCCTCCCCCCCAAGTCAGCCACATCCCTTCACTAACTTGCTTTCCATCCCCAGGAGCATGACAAATTAAAGTTTAATTTGCGTGTATTGTTTAATGGACTGCTAAATTGGCCATGCCCACCCAGTCATATACCACCTAGACATGCACACACAGTCACATGACCACCTAGCCACGCACACCCAGCTGGTCTGGCCCCCCCAACAGTGTAAGGGACCGTGAATTGGCCCCCTGTTTAAAAAGTTTGAGGACCCGTTTTAGGGTATGGGTATCTGACTTCATTTTCTTACATTGAAGTACAGGTAATCCCCAGGTTACGAGCGTTCCCTTAGTGAACATTCAAAGTTATGTGAACAGCGCCCCCTAGCGTTTCCGAACAAGGCCTGAAAGTACGAATCTTGCATCACCACGACAGTTGTTCGCCCTTAAGAACAACCGCTTGGCACGGCTTGGCACGTTGCCAACCGAAATGGAGCTTCTGAGAGGCAGATCCGCCCCTCAGAAGCCCCGTTCAGTTGTCTAGAGGTCTCCCCCGCCTATTGCAGGCCGAAATGGAAGCTCCGGGGGCCAGATCTGAGGCTCCATTCAGCCCTCTGTGGGCCTTCCCCGGCCCATTGCAGGCTGAAATGGAGCCTCAGAGGGCCGGATCCGGCCCCCGGAGGCTCAGATTCGGCCCTCGGAGGCTCCATTTTGACCTGCAATGGGCCCGGGGAATCCCGGCCCCATTCGTGGAGGGCTGAATGGAGTCTTCGAGGGCTGGATCCACTTGTGAAGATAGATCATCACAAGCTAGATCTTCATAAGGTAAGTGACGGCAGCTTAAGGAGGGAGGCAATTTGGGGAGCATGAGGTATTTCAGTGGGTTGGGTGGTCTTAGGCAGTAGGCCCCGCATGGCCTCCCCCCACCCCAATACCTCATGTGCACATAACGAGCCTCACATTCGAATAGCGAATGCATGGGTGAAATGAGGGAGTGATCTCGTTCAAGGTACAAGATTCACTCCCATAAATCCTCAGGTTACTAATGGAATGGGCAGGCTCCATTACATTTGTAACTCAAGGACTACCTGTATTTAGTTATGATGCTAAACCTTTTTCTTGCTGTTTACAGCCACGTATACCCAAATCCAGCCTCATTCACTGATCCAGCAACAGCAGCAAATTCACCTCCAGAAGCAAGTGGTGATCCAGCAACAAATTGCTATCCATCACCAGCAGCCATTCCAGCATCGTCAGTCCCAACTCCTGCACACTGCTACACATCTCCAGCTGGCCCAGCAGCAGCAGCAAGCTTCACCTATGACCCAACAGCAGCAGGGGCCACCACAAGTTTCACAACAGGCCACATCTCTTCATGGCCAACAGCAAGCCCAAACTCTTGTTGTCCAGCCCATGTTGCAGTCACAACTTCAGCCAGTGCAGCTCCAGCAGGACAGTCATTGCCAGACGGTCACTAAGACTTCTGTCTCTATTCAATCCAAGCCTCCTATAGCCCCTCTGAAACCCCCACAAATTGGTGCTGCCAAAATGTCAGCCTCCCAGCAGCCTCCACCTCATATACCAGTACAGGTGGTAGGAAATCGCCAGCAAGGTTCAGCTCAGGCTCAGGCATTAGGACTTTCTCAGATGAACACAGCTGTGCAGCCCCCCCGGGGTGTGCCAGCTTTAGTGCAGCCAGTATCCCAAGCCCATACAGCATCCTCATTAGCACAGATCTCTTCCTCTTCTTCTTCCTCTTCTTCGGTATCATCATCACCACCACCACCTCTACAAGAAGCCCTTCCTCCGCTCACTGCTGGAGCCAATGTAGCACAGGGCACAGCGCAGGTGAAGAGCACTACTTAATCTCCAATTCTTACTCAAGCAGCAGCCACAGCATATTATGTACAGCCAATGCAGTTATCAGTAAGGGGCCCCTTGCCAGTGTAGTGGGAAACAAAGTTGGAGGGGAACAAGTATAATGGGCTAGTCAGTTATTGAGAAAAAAATCAGTTATTTTAAATGAGTAATTGATTTCCTTAGATTTCTAGATAAGCGAGACAGAAATTGTTGGTTTCTTTTGAGGAAAGGTACAGTTGAAAGAGATAGGTAATCTCTATTGTCTGTGGTTCTGCTGTTGCTTATTTCCATGCAGCCTTGATTTGATGGCTGGAATCTTGGATTTTAATAATACTTAAAATAGATTGTATATTATCTTCACTAAAATATATGTAACATTTCAAAGTGTTCCTCCTACACAGAGTAAGCCCCAGGCTTTGGCAATCAAGCGCAAGGCAGAATCTGAAGAGGAGAGAGAGGATTGTAGTGCACCATCTTTACAGGCTGTCAGATCTTCTCCTGTGGCTGAGAGCCCCAAAATCACAGAAGATAAGGTTGGCCTTGGAGGTGAGGAAAGCAGAGCTACATTTTTCATTGTTGTTTTTATGGTTCACACATAAGGATTCTCTGCCTATTCATTAGCCTATTTGGAATGTTTTGAACTATAGGATTCCTGGTGAGATTCCTCCCAGTCTAAATAGTATAATATACATACAGTAAAGACATAGCTCCTACTTTTCAGACTTCAAGCTCAAGGAGATGTTTGCATTCAGAATGCTTGACTTCTGGGTATGCAAGAAACCACTGGACCTAGATCACTGAGAAAAGGGAAAGAATAGGAGCTCAAATCTGAATGTGGCATTGAGTTTCCTATCCTGCCACTTCAGTTATGATGGAGATGTTGTTCTTCCTATCCTGCAGCTGCTACCTCTGTTAGCCTTTCCATTAGTGATTGCATAGAAACCCATTTGTGACTGAGAGTTAACTCATTGATTTTTGTCTCATGAGGGAAAAAATTGTGAATATATGCTCCTTGAGTACAGATCTGAGTTTGTGCATGATGCCCACCAAGTGAGTCAGATTTTCTGTGGTTTTAATTGTTTTTATGATGTTCTCTTTGGATTTGATGCAAAAGATACCACAGTAGAAGCATGTTCAGCATCATTTTTCTCTGTCACATCATCATTTCTCTCCTTATCTGCTCATTTGGATTATAACTAGGTAATTCACCCTTATCCATTGTAGGCTTCTCATCCCTCAGTTTTACTATAATAGCTTAATATTATAATGGGATATTAATGGCCAGTGCTAATAATCATTTCTATCAGGCAAGAGTAAATATTAGAGGTGTGCATAAAATGAAAAAAAAAGTTTTATTTCATTCCTCCTTCTCCCCCCAAAAAAGTTTCATTCTGGAACTTCTGCCAATATCATCTGACAATTGCCGTAATTTATCGATTTATTGCTTCATTTTATTTCTGAGGATAGTTGTAGAAATTCTTGTTTAATTTAAATATTCACAATATTTCAAAGTTGAAGAATCTCTTAGGTTTAGAAACAAATTTCAAAAAACAGCATCTTTTATTATCCCAGATTATCCCAGATTTTATTGGCAAACATCAAGATATGACCAAGAGAGCTACTGTCCTTTAAGATCATTTTGAGCAGTGGTCCCCAACCTTTTAGGTTTGTTTATGTTTAAAGCTTACTTTATTGATTAGCTCTTGGGCCATATCAAAGTGCAAAGCTCCAGACACAAATTATTAATAAAATCTGATAAAAACAATTTAAAATGGAATTGGATAAAATACCGTTTAAAATGAAATTGGAATAAAATACAGTTTTAAATGATAGCTTTGATTAGCCTATAGGCCATATCAAAGCACATGGTGCAAACACATATCGCCAATAAAATCTTATTCAAACAATTTAAAATAAGAGTAGGGTAAAATACAATAGTTATAGGATAAAATACAATATAATTTAATACATAAATATATAAATAGAATAAAATGACATAAAATTATATTTTGGTGTCACCCTTACAATCTACCCCAATCAGTCCCACTTATACAGATCTCAACCAAACCATTTTGTTTAAGTACCGTGCTATGTTAAATGTTATTTTCAGGTTCTGGCAGCACATAAAGTAAATTGTTTTGATATGGGGATCCCAATGGGTCATTTGTTTGGTATATGGACCAAGGTACCTGTCTCTCACCCCCAACAGTCAGATAGGATGTGAGCCAGGTCTTCTACCTCCGCCACTCCACAAATGCAGAGACACTCATTGTAGAGTATAGAATGGAATCTCCCATATCTGACCATTGTGTCAAGCTGCTCGAATCTCGCTTGTATAAATATCTCTCTAAGATGTTTTGTCAGTTGTAACTTTAAATAGCTGTCTACTTGAAAAGTACATTTGCATTTCACTACCCCCTTACTAAGGATAGCTATATTATTTTGTGCTTCTATATCAGTGATGCCTAACCTTTTCCGGACTGAGTGCCCAAAGCGCATGTGCACAAATGCACACGTGCGTGCCTGAACCTCCAAAATGCAATGTACGTGCCCCCCGCGCATGCAACCACCCCCTGCGCATGTGCATACGGCCCCCGTCATGTGCCCCGGGTCTCCTCACATGTGCACGCCGTCCACCGCACATGCCCTGCCCCCCACACGTGTGGCAGAGACCTCATGACCAGCTGGCCGGTGGGAGGCACACGCACATGTGCGGCAGAGCTGAACTGGGGTGATGGCTCGCCATCACAGTTCTATATCCTTAATTCTTTGGGCAGCACCTTTTTTGAATTGTTCTCCTGTTACGCAAGAGACAGGAAGGCCACAGCTTCTTACAAAATTTGTTAGTTTGGTGATCCAGGAGATTTGTGATTGTAATTTTATTTGCTCTAATAGACTTAACTTGGGGAGTCTATCAGTCTTCATTTCATTGACTTTGCACCAGTAGTTATGCTCTAATTTTGGATAGTTCATGAATTGTATGAATTCCCAGTTCAGCTCTAACTGCTGCAGCAGATGTTCTTGGATCTACACCCAAAATACGTCTGAATGCTGGGACTGTGATTCTTCTGGGACTGTGGTTGAATATAGACCCCGAACCTCTGCTCCATACAAGAGCATAGGGGTAACCTTAGCTTTGTATACTTTAATTAATGGGGCTAGGGACCCTGGGTAACTATGGTTCTTTAGTTTAAGCAGTAAATTCAAACGGGTGTTTGCTTTGAATGTACTCTGTTGATGATGGCAAGCCCAAGATCCAGTCTTGGAAAAGGTTACGCCTAAATATACAAAGATGTTAACGTGTTCAATTGGTTCACCATCTAATTGCCACCTATGTCCTGATGCTGTTTTCCAAACACCATTATTTTCTATTTAAATTTACTATTGATTAGGGAGTTATCCTGGCAATAAGAGCTGAATCAACTTAATAGCCTACGTCAGTGATGGCTAACCTTTTTGCCATCACGTGCCAGGAGGGGAGGGGGGGGGGGAGGTTCGCGTGCGCATGCCCACACCCATAATTCTATGTGCCCCGCCCTGCGCATACAACCCCCTCCCCCCCTCCCCCCACTCCTGGGACGCGATGGCCCGATAGGCCTGTTTTTCTTTCTCACCTGGCTCCAGATCCTCTCTGCATTTGGGAAGGGCGAAAACAGCCTTTCCCACTCCCTCGGAGGCCCTCCGTATGCCTGAAACGGCCCATTTCCCAACTCCCGGTGGGACAGGAAGTGACTTTTTTTGCTGTTCCCAGCCTCCAGATCCTCCCTCTCTCTGGCAAAAAACCAGTCTTCCCCACCCCCCCAGGCCCTCCAGAGGCAGGAAACATCCTGTTTCCCTACTTCTGGTGGGCCTGGAAGGCCCAAAAATCAGCTGGCCGGTGCGCACATGCGCGCCAGAGCTGAGCTGGCATGCCCACTGATATGGGCGTGCCATAGGTTCGTCATCACGGATCTAAGTAATCCTACTAGTAAATATGATAATAAAATCATATCATCAGCATAAAGCAAGCTGTTACAGTAAGTATTTAGGATTATAGGCATGTGTACCATGGGATCCTTCATTAATCCTGGCAAGTCATTGATATATAAACTAAATAATAATGGGACCAGGATACACCCTTGCCTTACCCCTTTATTTGTGTGAATCCTGTTAGTCAGGGCCCCATTAACCCCATACCGCACCCTCAAACAGGTACTTGGTTAAAGGACTTTAATCAAAGCCAGCAGTCTAGGTTCTATTTTAAGAGATATCAGTTTACCATATCAAATGCTGCTGTAAGGTCTATAAAAGCAGCAAACAGGTCTTCTCTTATAAGCATATTTGGCAATTAGATGGTTCAAGATAAAGCAATTATCAATAGTGGATCGCCTTTGTCTAAAACCTGCTTGTTCTTCTGTGAGGATATTGTTTTCCTCTACCTAGATTTCAATCTTGTTCAAATAACCTAACATATATTTTTGCTGCAATGTCAATCAGGCTAATAGGCCTATATACTAGGATCCATTTTATTTCCTTTTTTATATATGGGGACAACCATTGCCATCTTCCACCCATCTGGTATATGGCAGGTGTTATTTATATCTGTAAAAAGACCTGCCAATACTGGGCCCCACCAATGGGGAAATTTCTTGAATAATTCTGCTGGAAAAAAATCCTCACCTGGGACTTTATTGTTCTTTAAACTTTTAATAATGGATTGTATCTCCTTTTCCGAGACTGGTGGCCAAGGGGGGTGGGGGGAGTTCTAGGATTTACTAGATCACTGCTTAGAGACAGTTTCTCTGCAGGTTGCTGGCACAATGCTGGTGAAAATTGGCTCTAAAGTTCCTGCCGATTTTTCCCTTAATTAAAAGTAATAGTTTGTCACTTCCCCCCGAGACATCAGTCACATGGTCCAATCAGCATACAGTCTAGACCAGGGGTCCTCAAACTTGGCAGCTTTAAGACTTGTGGACTTCAACTCCCAGAATTCACCAGCCACCCTTCCTCCCTGTTCCTCATCTCCAGTCTGTGTCAGCACTTAAGCTTTGAAGAAAAGAAAAACCCCAGTAGAATAGAAAGATGGCCACCGTCTAACCAGCTTCAGGGTTGACAGGCTGCTCCCCCCCCCTCAGTTGAAGAGGACCTCCTGCAAGAGAGAAAATAAACCACAGTGGGGTTAGTTAAAGACTCTAACCTCCCCTTCTTCCCCTTGAAGAAAACCCTATCCCCCACTTGCTAGTCCTTTGGCATAGCTCTTTTCTTATCAGCCTGTTTCTTATAGGCTCAGTGAGCCTCGTCTAATGCTTTACGAGTTACAGTCCAGTCCAGGAAGGTATTTGAGGGTTTTCCTGCGGTAGTTCTGGGATGGGCACAAAGTCCTGAACCAACACCACCTTGAATGGACTAAAACCAGTAATACTGTGTATGGAGTTATTATAGGCGACCTCTGCAAATGGCAGTAAGTCTGCCCAGTTATCTTGCTGGTAATTTACATAATACCTGAGGTATTGTTCCAATACTAAGTTAGCCCTTTCACAAGCCCCATTTGTCTGAGGATGGTGGGT